GTTCTGCATTTCCAGCGAGCAGGAACAGCTGCAGAGGGCAGCAGGAACAGCTGCAGAGGGCAGCAGCAATAACTGCAGAGGGCAGCAGCAATAACAGCTGCAGAGGGCAGCAGCAGTAACAGCTGCAGAGGGCAGCAGCAATAACAACTGCAGAGGGCAGCAGCAATAACAACTGCAGAGGGCAGCAGCAATAACAACTGCAGAGGGCAGCAGCAGTAATAACAACTGCAGAGGGCAGCAGCAATAACTGCAGAGGGCAGCAGCAATAACAACTGCAGAGGGCAGCAGCAATAACAACTGCAGAGGGCAGCAGCAATAACAACTGCAGAGGGCAGCAGCAATAACAACTGCAGAGGGCAGCAGCAATAACAGCTGCAGAGGGCAGCAGCAATAACAACTGCAGAGGGCAGCAGCAATAACAACTGCAGAGGGCAGCAGCAATAACAACTGCAGAGGGCAGCAGCAATAACAACTGCAGAGGGCAGCAGCAATAACTGCAGAGGGCAGCAGCAGCCCGCAGAACAGCGCTGTGCCGGGGAGCGGCACCGGCCCCCCCGGGCTCCCGCAACCCCAGAACCCCGGGATGCTCCGAGCTGTGCGGACTCAGCACCGCAGGGTGTCCCAGCAGGAGCGTGGGCACCTGGGCGTTCACCTCTCCGGGGGGAACCCGGCAAGCGCCTGCAGGGATGGGGAAGGAAGCAGAGACCCAGGGAACGCCCCAGCACGTGGAGCTGCGAGGATCTCAGCCAGGGCAGACGCTGGAGGGCACCTTCATCCCCATCACATCACCCTGCAAAGAGGGGAGTGTCCCAAGCACAGGTTCAGCTCCTGCCTTGCCTCAAACCTCAGCACAAACACAAAGACAGACCATTCTCCCCCCTCCAATCCCCCCAGGAAGAGCAGCAGCATCCTTTTGCCCCTTTGCTGGGCTCCCCTGACACGCAAAGCGATTCACAGCAGCCTCTGGAATAAAAGGGTTAAAATCCCGTTTCTAACCCCAGATCCCCAGGCTGAGCCCTTGCAAAGGAGCAGCAAACCCAGAGGTGGAGGGGCCAAATCCCACATCCGGGGGTCTCACCCACAGCAGGGCTGTGTGAAGGGCTCCTGGGGCTCCTCTGCAAACACTTTACACGGGTGTGTAACTGTTACTCACCAGAGATGGAGCTGCTGCATGGAGAGACAGAGCTATTTTTAGCCCATAGATACTACTAAATATTTACACCAGCCCGCTGAGCCTCCCCTCAAGTGCAGATGCAGGTCTGGGGCTGGGGGAGTGGGGGCTGCAGATCCTCCCTCCCCTCCTTCAGCACATGTGAAACAGCTTTATTTCCTTTCCCAGCAGAAAGGGCTGCTCTGGGAGAGCAAACAGGCTGTGCCTTGGTACCAGCTGAGGAGCAAGGCAGCTCATTTCCCTCCCCTTCCTTCCCTCCTCCTATTTTCTGCTGCTTTACTTCCCTCTGGGAATGCCCCTCTGCAATGGGCAGTCCTGGGTGGCCATGACCTGCTGGAGCACTGGCTGGGACCAAAGGGGTTGGATGGAGGCTGTTCCCACCTGGAGCAGCTTCCAATTAAAAGCCAAAAAATCAGATAAACCAGCAAAATTCTTCAAATTCTCTGCTTGCTGTCCTGGCTTTGCTGACCCTCGGGGCTGTGCCTGTGAAGCCTTTGTGTGTGGCACAAGGAGGTTTTGAGGCCAGGAGAACACAAACCCGACTCTTATTCCTACCTGTTCCCTATGACAGAGCACAGATGGAAGCTGTGAGCGATTCCTGGTCCCACTGGACTCGCTGCCTCCCCACGTGCTCAGGTCACCGGCAGGACCAGGGTCCCTCCCTCGGCCTTGCAGCTGATGAAGGACTGATGACCCCTCTGGCTCTCTGGGAATTCAGATCCTCCAGATGAGACCGTCTGGGCCAGACAGAAGCACTCGGTGAGGTCTGAGAGCTGCAAACCACAGGTGCTCTGCCAGGGAGACCCGACTGCCCCAGAGCCACGGAAGCGCTTGGAGTGTTCCTGTGAATCCCAGACACAAACAAGCTCCTCCATAAGTGCCTCCTGCTTCCCAATTAGTGAGCTCCCTTCCTTCCTGTCTCCAGGATGGAAATGTCTGGAGGTGACCAAGGGAGATCTGATTTCTGATCTGGAGCCAAAAGCCTCTGACTCCTCTCAGAGAGGCTTTCAGGAGATCATGGAATCACAGAACCCTGGAACTTTCTGGGAGGGAAGGGAGTGACAGGGATAGTGGGAATGGCTTCCCACTGCCAGAGAGCAGGGTTAGATGGCATACTGGGAAGGAATTCCTGGCTGGGAGGGTGGCAGGCCCTGGCACAGGGTGCCCAGAGAAGCTGTGGCTGCCCCTGGATTCCTGGAAGTGTCCAAGGCCAGGTTGGATGGGGCTTGGAGCACCCTGGGCTGGTGGGAGGTGTCCCTGCCCATGCCAAGGGGTGGAACAAGATGATCCTTAAGGTCCCTCCAACCCAAACCATTCCATGACCCTATTTCAAACATCATTTGATCCATAAGCCCTTTCCTCCTTCCCTTTCCCCCCACTGCAGCAGCTGTGTCTGAATAACATCCTGCTTCTCTTAAGACAATAAAAGCATCTTTAAAAGAAGAAAAAAGGCATTTCTACATCCCATCTAACCCTTCCCTCTGTCAGTGGGAAGCCATTCCCCCTTGTCCTGTCACTCCAGGCCCTTGTGAAGAGTCCCTCTCCAGAGAGACTCCCTATAAGCATCTCATTGAAAGAAAATGAAGCAAGATGTGTGTTATCATCACTGATAATGCAGTTTCTGTGCTGCTGGGAGGCCTGGCTTGTTATGTGGCTACAAATTAGACAAAATGCCCTTCCAACAGACTCCCACACTATGATCCAAACTCCTCCAGCCTCAGTGCCCACCTGACACCTCCACAGCTTGGCACTGCCAGGTTCAGGGTGCTGTGCTTTTGGTTTGCATTAAATCCAATCCTGCTGCTCCCAGTCCGAGCTTGGGAACAGGCTCAGCCCTTCCCAGAGGGACACCCAGCCCAGGGCTGTGTTGTGACAGCTGAAGGTCACAGAAAAACCCCAGGGCTCCCAGCCCAGCAGGGTCAGCCCTTCTGGAGACACACAGGATTTGGGGTTGAAAAGGAAAGGATTTGGGGTTGAAAAGGAAAGGATTTGGGGTTGAAAAGGAGAGGTTTCTGGTTGAAAGGAAAAGGTTTCCCCTGGCTGCTGCAGTTCCCTGTGCCAAAGAGACACAGCCTTGGCAGGACCACAGGGACACGAGGTGCTGGTGGGACACGAGGTGCTGGTGGGCACTGGTGCAGTGGTTTGGCTGAGTCTCCCATGGGAGGGATCATCCTGTGCCCTCATCCCGGCTGGGGATGGCATGGACAGGCACTGCAGGAGGGGCTCACCTGGCTGGGTACCCCTGGAATGAACTGATTTGCAGAACTGATTCACCCCACCGACCCAGCTCACGTTTTAACCAACAAATCCCAGTAGCAAAGGGCCGCTGGAAATGATTTTCAGATGCAAACAGATCCCCCTTCCTGCTGCCAGGGCCTAAACCACCCCCAATCAACTGAAAACTCCCTCGAAATTCCCCAAGGAAGAGAAACTGTGAAGCCCACCTGTTTCCTTCAGTAACTGTTTAATTTAACACTCGTGAGCTGTGGCCATGAGACCCCAGCACAGGGGTTGTCTCTTCACAAACCTGGGAGGGGACGGATGCGCGGATGGAGGGAGTGGGGAGGAGGAAACCAGGACTGAACACAGGCTCTTGGAACATGAAAAATTTACACCGTGTTGGAAAGGAACAAAACACAGCTGGTGAAGTCATGGGTGTGCTTTACATACAGATCTCACACAGGAATTTCCCGTTTAGGGACCGATTGTTGCTCCTGACAGGTGATGAAACGCACCTGGAGCTGTGACCAGGGATGGGTCCAGCCTGGCCCTGCTCAGTGCCAGGACAGTCACCCTCATGATCCCCCAGCTTTTGGGCATCCTTCACAGCCTGAAGAGTCATAGGGGAAGGAATTCCTACCTGAATGCTCCTGCCCTTCTCCAGGGAACAACCTACCAGCAAACCCTTCCCAAGACAGGGAGGGATTCCCACACGCTGCTCCGGGAAAGGAGCTGTACCTCATGCAGTGCTGGATATTCTAGTTAAAAATCAGCTAACCTTAACAGAGGAGACTCTAGATAAGCAGGGAAAAAGGGGTTTAGCTTGTAAGAACACAGAAAAACACCTTAACCAACCATTACACTGCTACACATACAAAAATCCAGGGCTTAGCACTTGGCTGCCCACGAGGCAGGGCATGAGCTGCTCACCACCACGGCCAGAGCAGCTTCCCTCTGCTTCCCAAATACATGCAAGGGAATGTGCTGCTGGACTCCAAACCTTGGTGTCCCTGATGATCCCCTCTGCTCCAGAGTGACACAGGCAGTGGCTTTGGCAGAGAAAGCCAGCAGTGGGGACACGGGGCACGGAGCCCAGCACAGCCCTGCCTGAAGCCAAAACTTGACTCCTCTGCCCTGTCTCCATTTCTTACATTAAATGTATTTTGCTTCGTAAACATTTTAATGAAAATTACAGGAATGGGTTGCCAGCTTCAAGTCCCTCAAGGAAAAGAAGAATCCCTACCCCAAAGGGTTGGCGGAATGCGGGATGCTCGCTCCAGAGATACAAAAACAGTAAAAAAAAGTCAAGGTTCGTGCTGGCCAGCCAACACCTTCAAGAGGCTGAAAAGGTCATCGATAGCACCATAAGCATTTCTGGGAGGTGTCCCCCGAATTATTGCTGCGTTCGGTTCCCTTCCCCAAAATGCTTCCCCGCCGGGCACCCAGGGCAGTGACCCCGACCCCAGACCTGCCTGACCCGATGGTTTGAGCACCGTTACGGAGTAGCACAACTAAAGAAACCGGGGCTGCCCTGGGACGAGGCAGAGCCGCCCGTCCCGGCTGTGCCCGGGAGCCCCCGGGAGCTGCCCCGGGCCCGGCCCCGCTCCTGTCACCTCCGGGAGAGCCGCTCGTCCCCGCGGTCCCGGCCGGGCAGCCCCTGCCGGCGGCAGCTCCGGCAGCACTGCAGATGCACCGTGGGCAGGTGGCACCGGCCCAGCAGCCGCAGGGTCTGGCAGAAGCCGAAGGTCAGGCGGTCGCGCTCGCAGGGGACACCTGGAGGGGAGGGAGGGGACAAGGACAGTGTCAGTGCCGGTGTCACCGCCTGAGCAGGTGTGGATGTGAAAATCTCCCTGCACGTGGCAAGAGTTGGAACAAGATGAGTCTTTAAGGTCCCTCCCAACCCAACCCAATCCAACCCAACCCAACCCACTCGAGGATTCTGTGGGAGCTGGCACAGACACAGAGCTCCCCAAACCCAGAGCCCACCCGCACCTCAGTATTCCTCATCCACAGCATCCACAACACCTGTGCTGCTCCCTGCAGCTCCACAGCCTCCTCCCAGGGCAGCATCATTCCCAGGGAGCAGGGCTGAGGTCCAGGGACACAAACCTCCCCACACTGACGCCTCCTCCCTGTCCCCAAACCCCCCCCAAAGCCAGCAGAGCAGCAGAAAGGCCAGAATTCCTTTTTCTGGGCATTGTTTAGGTTATTTCAAGAACCTGCATCAGCTGTTTCGCTTCCTGCAGGTGTCCTGCAGACCCCAAAACAACTCTGCTGCTGCTCCAAGGACAGGCTTTGTTTTGGGAACCGCTGCTCCAGTGCCAGCACCCTGGCTCTGCAGAGGGGGCAGTGCCCGGGCAGCTGCAGCAGCGGCCGTGGTGGCCATAGCGGGGCCACCCCACTGAGTCACCCACAGCCACAGCCTGGCCACCCCACTGAGTCACCCACGGGCTGAGCAAACTTTGCAGGAGCTGTTTCCTCCCTGCAAACAGTCTGGAAATCACAGATCCCAGTCCAGGACCATGAGAGCCAGGTCAGGGGGGGTTGGGCTCACAGAGGGAGAGACTCGAGTGCTGCCTCAAAGAGACCTTGTCCTTGGGGTGTGAGAGGGTGGAACATCCCACCACCCCAAAACACCCTCACACCTGCCTCCCTGTGCATCCCACGGGACAGCATGGGCCGTACATCCCATGGGATGGTGTGGGAATGTGGCAAGGAGGGGACAGCCCTCTCCTGCACCATCAGCAGCTCCCAGCTCCACCAGCAGCCACACCAGGCTCAGCCAGGCTGCACCTCAACTCAGCCACAGCAGCAGAGACCCATCACCAAACACACATCGTTTATATGGGTATAAAGCTGCTTTCATTTTAATTTCCTCCTTTCTGCTGTATCTCCACACAAGCACTCGCCTCCCTGAGCCTGCAGCATCTCACCCAGTTGGGCAAGACTCGCTTAAATTACATCAGCTCTGTCTGAGTTTGCCCCCTGTACAAATAACTTAAATAAATGACAGCTTTTCTCTGGAAAAGGGCAGAGCTGATGATCCCCTGGGCCGGCACCCCTGGTCCCCTCCCACTGCCCCTCCCCAGGCACCCTCCACCAGGACCACACTGAGCAGGGGCAGAACTGGGGCTTTTCTCTTTCCCAGGACACTTCTGTGCTCAGGAAACACCAGGACCAAGCCAGGGAGCCCTCACTGACCACTGCCCCTCGCCGTGTCCCCTCTGGGAACAAAGGCTGTGCCGAGGGAACGGCTGCTGCCCCGATTCCCACGGGATGAGCCGACCCCAGTGGCAGATGCAGAGCGGAGGCTTTTCCCCCCATTTGGGATTTCAGCCACAGCCCCCTCCCCCAGCCCAGCAGTGAGGAGGTCACTCCGCTGCTCTAAAATTAATTTTCTATTTCAGCTGAGGTATTTCCTCTCTTCCTCCCGAGCTGCAGCTCTCTGTGCCTGGCAGGAGTGTCCCTGTCCCCCCAAAGCCATTGATCACCCACGCTCCTGGATCCAACTGCTCTAACCCCTGGGGCCTGGGACAATGTGCATCTTTCCTGCTGGTTGAGCAGAGCAGATAAGAAACCTCTGTACAGCCCAGCAAGGGCCAGGGAATCTCCCTGGAGAATCCCCCATGGCTGGTGATGGCAATACTGGGGTGGACCAGCCAAGCTGCACCTTAAAACAGCCCATTACCCAGCTCCAGCCCACTGACCCCAGCTGTCCCCACACACAGGATTCGGTAATTCATTTACTCCTCACCACTGGGCAACTCCCCTGCCCAGCCTGTGCTTCCCATGGGATTTACGGACTCAGAATCACAGAATCACTAGGCTTGGAAAAGCCCTGCAAGACCATCGAGTCCAGTCATCCTCCCAGCGCTGCCAAGGCCACCACGTCCCCATGTGCCACATCCACACATCCTTTGAACCCCTGCAGGGATCACAAACTCGCTGTGTTGGTTGTTGCTGGGTTTGGAAGTGACACTGGGCAGGAGAGCTGGAGAACAGAGCGGTGGCTCCCGGCAGGCAGGGGCAGGGCTGGTGTGCTCAGGCTGTAACTGCAGCAAAGCCCCAGGGCGAGGGGGACAGAGCTAAAAACACCCCACAGTTGGGTGGGAATGTCCCCATCACTGCCCAGGGGGTGCCCAGCCCAGGCAGACCCCCAGGAGCCCCTCAGTATTTTTAGCCCTCTCTCCTGCTCACTCCACTTATCGCAGCTTCCTAGGAAGTTATTTATGGATCCCAACCAAGCTGCCTTCCCTTGAAAGAGCCCTGCAGGCTGCTGGAGCTCACCATGGGAGGTGGCTTTCCAGGACTGGAACAGCGGTGCAGCTCCCTCCTGATCCCTGTCCCACGGGTCAGCACCCTGGGCACGGGAGGGAAATTCCCATCCCTGGTCCCTGCACTGCCCAGGCACAACCAGCCCATCCCGCTGGGAGTTACTGCCCTCTGTGCACCACCTTACCGGCACAGGAACGAGGTTACTGTGGAAACAGCCGGGAGGGGCTTGCGGAGGGTGGAGAGGAGCCACCTCCCTTGGCTGCAGGCTCTGCTGACCTCACAGGAGACCCCAGCGGGACTCAGGGTCCAAAGCAAAATGAACTCATGGGGTCACAAAATACCCCAACTGGACGAGACCCACAGGGATCGTCGAGCCCAACTCCTGGCCCTGCACAGGACACCCCAACAATCCCACCCCGTGCCCGAGAGCCTTGTCCAAACACTTCCAGAGCTGGGTGAAGTCAATGGGAGCCGCTGAGTTCTCATCACTTTTCCAGATCCGTGCCGGGGGCTGAGGCAGCGTCTCAGGGTGGATGTGTGTGGGGTCAAGCTCAGGTCTGACAATCTTGGCTGGGCTCCTGATTCTTCCCTGGAATTCGGTCTTGGGCAAGGGAAGCTGTAATAAGCACTTGATTTGTCAGCTCTTCAGAGAGGGCCTGATTTCCATTTCCATTTAATCCTTTTACTGTTATTTTTTTCTATTAACAATTTTTTTATATAATCCTCACACTTCATTTGGACACACGCACCGTAAGTCTGTGCCAAATTTTAGGCTAAAGAAATAGCTTAAAGCAGGGCTTTAAAAATCCAGGCTAAGTCAGCACATTAGAGAGTGAAAACCCCCACTTTTTCGGGGTTGTTTTTTTAAGGTCGGCGTGGAAGTCGCTTTAAATTTCATTTAAGCTTCTGCCACCCAGACCTAAGCCTTTACTTCTATTCTAGGGAAAAATAAACTTCCTGGAACAGGTTTTGTGAAAACAAGGAAAGGTTGAGCTTCGAGCTGAACTAGCAAATCCAGGGAATTAGGCTGCTGACCTCTGGCCTTCGGGATGCTCTCAAAGCCAGGGCCGAATTTAACAAGTATTATCCCAGGGTCCTGCTCCAGGGCCATGGTGCCCTCCCCTGTGGTCCCTGGTCAGCATGATGGGATGCATGGGATGCACCCCCAGTGCCAGCTTTGCCTGCACTGACACGACCAAGCTGGGAAAACCGGGAGAAAACCACAACCCCCCAGTTCTCAGGTGTCAGTCCTGCTGTGGGCAACATCCTTCTCCCACATTTAATCAAAACAGGGAGTCCTTTCCCAAGCATCCCTTTCCCACTGACTCCTGTTGTTAATTAGCAGTTAATTAATTGCCCTCAATGCCTTGCTCAGCAGCACCTCCCTGCCTCGCCCCTCGGATAGGGACTTCCACGCTCAAATGACAGAGAAAATTGGAATTTGCTGCAATTATTTCCCCTATGGATCCCTTGTGGACAAACTCAGCGACACGCAGAACCGTGAACAATTCCATTTCCTTACCCAGAGCAAGCAGGAACACAACGTTTAATTGCCAATTAATCTTCAGGCAACCAGAAGGACAACGAAGGGTAACGAGCCCGGTGTCCCCTCACCCCTGCCCAGTACACAGGCTGAGCTCCAGCCCCTGCTCTGTCCCGCTCCCAGAGGAACTGCACCAGTTACACACACTGTCCTTGAGCCAGATGAAGGCTTTACCTCATCCCCTTGGTATTCCCAGCTGGGACACCTGTGGAACAGCCAAGAGCTGGCCCCATCACCTGCCTGACACCTGCTTGGAGCCAATCTGGGGAGCTCACAGACCTCCCCCAGGACTGGATCCAGAGGATGGGCACGAGGGAAATGATTCATTTTCTGACATGAGCACAGTGAGCCCCCCAGGGGCTGCCTGTGCTCTGTCCCAAGCAGGGCTGTGTCACCATCGCCAGGGTCTGCCCAAAAGCCACTGTCCTGGCACAGCCATCACCCCACACCAGCAGAGTGACCAGCTCTGTCCAGCCCTGGGCTTCCTCCTCCCATACACAGCAATCCCTGCTTTCCTGGGTTAAATCTATTTGATCTGCTGGATAAACTGCTGCTGGTCTCTCCAAGCCCTCACGTGGGGCCTGGGGCTCAGCTCCTTTCCAAGATGCTGTAAACACTTCCCAGATAAACGTCCCCAGCCTCTGGAACATCCCACGGAGGCATCGGGGTGCCCACGGGCTTTGATGCTCCCCAGGAGCCATCTAAGGACACACTCACAGCTGGCTGCAGCTGGAAGGCAATAGGCACATTCAAAAATAACCTTGGTGTAATCTTCAATTAATTTATAACCTGGCAGAAGCACAGGACTCTGGTTCTAATTAATCCCAGCCTCCTTTAATTGAGGAGCCGATTGCTGTGAGATGTTTGTTTGTGCTTCATTTGTTCCATCCCGGCTCAAAATCCATCTGATAATGGTTTGGACATTTAAACCCTACTGGGGTTATTGGCATTCCTGTGTCCAGTGAGGACACAACCGCTCACAGACCCAGCCATGGCTCTGTGGTACCGGAGCACCTCGAGCCAGAGGAGGGAGAGGCTCCTTGAGCTCCTAAGGAGAACACGGATCGCTCCAGCCTGCATCCATCTTGTGCAGTAAAGATCCTTTAAAACACAGGAAAGGGCTGGAGTTACGTTCATGCCTTTCTGGGAGCCTGTGGATTTACACATCTGGGATTTCCTGCCATGTGAAAGTTTTGTTCCTCTTCATGCTTTGGCTGGAAACGTTTTGTATTTCCAAGAGGCGTTTCCTGCCCTGGGCTGCAGCCAGAGCGTTTATGTCACTTTTGATCCAGGATTTTAGCATTTATTTGTGTGCTTCCTACACATCTCAGTGGTTATTCTGGTCCAGCCTTGGCTCCATGGCTCTCATCACCGAGCCTGGCACGGAAATTTTCCCTTTATAAAAATAGCCGGAACCGCACATCATTTCTTCAGCAAGGCTGACTAATCATTTCCTAAAGGCTGAAGAGCCCCACGGCCCTGCAAAGGCTCCGAAAAGGAGCTGTTTAATGCCTAAAAACAGCCCAGTGGCCAGAGGTGCCAGTGCCCAGCTCCCAGGGAACCAAAGCCAGCGCTCCTGCCCTCCCTGCAGTAGGAGTCAGGAGGAACATGCTGGACATGGGATCAACACAGGAGTTGGGAGGGTGAGAATGGGTGTCCCAGGCTGCAGAGGGGGCCTGCCCTGAGCTGTGGAGCAGCCATGGATCCAGCTCCTGCACCCTGGGCATCAGCCCTGCTGCCCACTCGCTCCACCTCTCAGCCCTCCCTTTGTTCAGCAGACCTCCTGAGGGGCCAACATTACTTTCTGGGCAGACAAAGAGCTTTTTTTTTTGCACAGACACATTAAAACGATAAAGCTGATAAATGACTGACGTGCTCATACCAATGACATCCAATCCCCCCTTACAATGCTTTTCCTTTAAGTGCCTTTAACCCTTGCAGCCCCTGATTTCTGGCTGGCAGGGAACTGCCTGGTGCCATGGGATGCACCTCTGGGAGTGAAGGGGGCAGGAGAAGGCAAGGGAGTGCTGTGGTGTGGCTGAGCACTGTGGCTGCAGCCAGGGCAGAGAAATGAAAAGTGAGTTGAAATGGGGCTGTCTCCCTCAGGCACCTGCTCAGACACACCTGAAGAGGCTGGAGAACTGGCCTTTTATCTGATTTGATAATGCTGGCCCAGCTTGTTTCCAAATTTCTGCGTTCTGGGACTTTACCACCAAACAGCTTTTCGAGAGCTCCATCACTGGGTATTTCCTTCTGCCTTCCTTTTCCTGTGCCACATTGTCCCTGAAGCAGATCCCTTCACCCCACACCCCCACCAGGGTCCCTGCTGGTTGTCCCAGTGCTCAGTGACACTTCTGCATCCGACAAGCACATCCCAGTCCCCATCTGTGCCAGTAAAGTCCCCGCTTGGCCCCGGACAGACGGATGCTCCGGACATTTAGAGATAGTTATAACATTGCCACCTAATTATCAATTAGCCAAGCCAGCCTTACACAATCCAAGCATGAAACACCCCTTCATCTCCCCACAGAGTTCCCACACTGTTTCTCAGACTGGTTTTCCATCCTCCCTGATCCCTCCTTGCTGCAGCAGCACCAGGTCTCTGGCTGCACCATGAGCACCCTGTGCCCCTCACCCTTCCCTGTGCCCCGACCCCTGGATCCTCCCAGCACTCAGCCCATCCCACCCTGCACCAGGACTGGCTGCACAGCACTTCCTGGGGTCCCCTCCCAGGAGCAGGACAGCACAGGGCATGACCCACCCTGGAGAAATGAATGGGGTGGAGCTGGTCTGTCCCCACTTCTGGTGTCCTCCTGGGGGGATGGGAAGTGAAAAGTGGGGAGAAACATAAAGAATGAGGCTAAACTTGGCTAGAAAAACCATCCCTGGTTACAGGATGCAGGACAGGTCATGTTCCTACAGTTCTTAAAGAGTCCCTAACTGGGAGCCTGGGTGGTTCCCACACCAATCCCCAAGATCACCACCATGCCCTCAAAACTCAGCATTTATCCCAAGAGCTGCTCAAGCTCCTGGGGAGCACAACCCCCCTCAGGACACCCCACTCAGTGTCAGCATGGGCAGAAGGCCCTGGGCACGGCTCGCTTACCCGGCTCGGAGCTGTCACAGTCCTGGGGGTTGCACTTCTGGGTGCTCTCGGGCCAGGGCTCGTGGTCACACAGGCTGCTGTCCTCCTCGGCCACCCCTGTCTTGGTGTTGATGCACTTGACCTGGCGCCTCTGGATGCCCCCTCCGCAGGGAGCCGAGCACTGCGGGAGCAGGGACCTGTCAAGGCAGGGGCACTCCGTCCCTGTGCCCCTCAGGATCACCCCAGAGCCCGGGAGGTGGTTGTGGCAGCAGCCCCCCAGTTGGTTTGGAGGGTTGGGCTTCCCCTCATCCTGTTCCTCGTGTTTCATGCAGATCCCATGGAGGGGAGCCCGTGCCTGCTCACCTGCCCCAGGAGCCCCTCACCTGCCCCCAGGAGCCCACCACCCAGGTGGTGCAGGGGTGTGTGTTGCAGGGCCGGGTCGTGTTGGGCCGCGACGTCTCCTCGCAGCGCCCGAGCTCCGGACACGTCACCAGCCGCTCCTGCTCCCCTCCACCACAGGACTCCGAGCACTGCCGGGACACAAACCATGGAATGCACCGTCAGGATCCCAGGGCTGGAGCCCCTCTGCCCTGGGGACCAGCTGGGAGAGCTGGGGGGGTTCACCTGAGAAGGGAAGGCTCCAGGGAGACCTGAGAGCCCCTTGCAGGGCCTAAAGGGGCTCCAGGAGAGCTGGAGAGGGACTGGGGACAAGGCACGGAGGGACAGTACAAGGGGGAATGGCTTCCAGGGTTAGATGGGATGTTGGGATGGAATTCTCCCCTGGGAGGGTGGGCAGGCCCTGGCACAAGGTGCCCAGAGAAGCTGTGGCTGCTCCATCCCTGGGAGTGTCCAAGGCCAGGTTGGACGGGGCTTGGAGCAACCTGGGATAGTGGGAGATATCCCTGCCCATGGCATGGGGTGGGATTTGCTCAGCCCCCTGCCCAGCCCCTACCTCTCTCCAGGAGGACGTGTACCAGTCCAGGCAGGGTGGGCCGTGGCAGGGCAGCTGTGCCGGGGGTTTGTGGAGCACGGCCTGGCAGTGGAAGGGCCGCAGCAGCCGCTGGTCTCTGGTGTCCACACAATGAACATCCCGAACCTTCGTCCCCTCACCACAGTTCTTGGAGCACTGGGAAAGGACACGACCATCACGCTGGGGAAGGGCCAAGTTGTCCAGGAGCCCACCCAACCTGACCTTTCAAACCACTTCTTATTTAGCTTTTGCAAATTCCTGGCCCAAGAGCAGGAAAAGTGGAAATATTGTGGGAATAAGTAGTTTAAACTCCATGGCAAGCGCAAACCCTCACCCTCCGCCTTTGTGAGCCGTGGGGCAAGAGCCCACCCCGAGAGCAGCAATGACCCCACACCTGCCTTGCCCTGAGGGGTTTTTGGGGCCTCCCTCCCCGTGTACCTTGCTCCAGTTGCCCACACGCCACGAGGAGCAGGGTCTCAGGGAGCACCTCCGGGCCGGGACGGGTCTGTTGGCCAAGGCACAGCCGTCGTCGCTGCCGCTGCTGCAGCGCACGCTCCTCCAGATCGCGCCCACGCCGCACGTGGCCGAGCACTGCAACACAGGGGCAACCTGCTCCTCTGCGCCTGGCACCCACCCCTGCATGGATCTGGCCGAGGGTGGGGCAGGGTGGCCGGGCAGAAAGGTCCCTGTGGGCTCAGCTCCTCCAGGGCGATGGGAGCAGTGCTGGTTAAACCGGGCTGTGTGCAGGCAGGGCTCTGCGATGATGTGGCAAGAGGAGCTGTCCCGAAGGATGCTCCTCTCTGAGCAGTCCCACGCCAGGCAGCCCTCAGGGAAAACCCTCCCCTGTGCCCCATTCCATGTTAATGGGACTCAACACGTACCTCACTCCAGTTCCCAACTTCCCAGCTGGGCATGGCAGTGGCTGCCGTGGTGGTTGATGGTGGAAGCGAAGCCTTCTCCTTCTCCTCCATCCTCTTCTCCCAGAGCGGTGGGGGGGCAGGGGAGGGTTGGGACCACTTGTGCCCCCCATCACTGAAGGCAAATGTCCCTGGGGGTGCCCAGGGTTCCCCTGGCATGGTGATGCTGAGTGGGGTCCCATGGGGGGTCTGTTCAGTACGGGGCGATGCCGGCTCCGGGTGGGGGGACACCCCCAGGGTCCACCATTCCAGGGGGGCCTTGGAGGGGGATGCTCCCACTGGGTGTGCAGCTGGGCTGTGAGCTGGGGCCGTGGGCATGGCTGGGGCCAGGGCATCCTGCTGGGTGAGGCTGCTGGAGCTGAGCTGAGTGGCTGGTCTGGGCACAGCAGGGGACAAGGACACTGCTGTGGGAAGGGCTGTAGTGGCCACCCAGGGGGCTGAGCTCAGGGATGTGGGGGTGTGGAGCTCTGGCTGGGGCCCTGCCTGCCCCGAGGGACCCCTGACAGCACCCATGGGAGAGGGACTCACAGCAGGATGGGTGCTGCCAGCACTCCGTCCCATCTCCCACCCCGGTCCCTGCAGGGTGGGGAAGGAAAGGTCTGCCCTCTCTGTCCCACGGGGATGCTCATCATTACCATCTGCTGACACTGCCTGCGTGCCCACCACCCACCCTGGCACCTCTGCCCCCCTGTCCTGCTCCGTGGTGTCACCGTCAGTGTCACCAGTGAGGACAGGACCCGTCTCCCTGGAGTCCTCGTGGCCTGTCCCCGCAGACACGGCCCCGCCGTGCCCCTCCCTGCCGGGGTGCCCCGGCCCCGCTGTGCCCGCACAGCCCTCGCTGCGGCTCCCCGGCACTCCAGGAACATCGGATACATCCACTCCGGCACTGCCCCAGGCTGTGGGCAGCGGAGCAGGGGGATCAGCTGGGTGGGGACCCCAGGGAGCGAAGCCACGGGCTGGAGCATCCTGCCCAGGACCTGTCCTTGTCAGCACAGCCCCGTGGGGCTCATCCAGGGCTGCGTGGTTGTGGCTGTTGGCAGAGCTGTGACTCGTGGTGCTCTGGGTGGGTGGGTGGTCCTCGGAACGGGGCACCAGCATTGTGTCCTCCTCCTCACCCATGAACCCAGGGATGGTGTACTTGGGAGTGGCTGATCCTGCATCCTCGGGGACCACGCTCAGGAAGTCATTGCTGGCTAAATCCTCAGGCTCCATCTCCCCCTCATCCACAGGAGCAGAGGCTTTGGTGCCCAGATGGTGCTCGCTCCCTCCTGCCAGCTCGGTGGTGAGCAGGACAGCAGTGGGCACCTCCCAGGGCCCCTCCACGTCGTTGTTGCTCAGCTCTGGCTTTGCCTCCTCACCTTTGGTCTCCTTCTCCGTGAAGGGATAGTAGGACAGATCCTCGTGGAAGTTGATAAAATTATAATCATAGTAAAAGTCATCCACAAAGACGTTTCCCTTGCTGGCTGGGAAGTCCTCCTCAGGGATCACATTGACATCGTTGGACTCGGGGACGTGTGGGATGAGGGGGTTAAATTTCGCGATGTGGTTGCTGGGGATGTAGTGGATCTCATTGAACACCTCCCTGCTGGAGGAGCCGCTGCCAGACCCGTCGGTGTTGGCACCGTGGGTGTTGGCACCGTGGGTGTTGGCACTGTTGGTGCTGGCACTGTGGATGTCCTGGCAGGGTGGCTGGGCACAGGGAGCCTCCGTGCTGGGCCGCTCTGCGGGGTCACAGCCCGTCCCCGTGCCCTGGCTGCACTCAACAGGGCGCCTCCGGGTCCCGTTTCCACACGTCGTGGAGCACTGGGAAGGGAAGAGAGAGGGAAACATGAGGGATGGGAGGCAGCAGGAGGAGCAGGGCTGGGGATGGGGTTGGCAGCAGTGCCCGAGCCCCTCACCGGTGCTGCCCTCTGGGATGCCAAAGGGGGTGCTTGGTTGTGCCATGTGCCACAATGGGCACAGGGACTCCACGTTGCTCTGCCTCACTCCCACCACCCACCTGGGTCCCCAGGCAGCTCCTGTGCCATTCCCACTGGTGGCAGGGAGTCCCCTGCACCAGGAGTCGGGATCAGGGGTACTGGTCCCACTGGAGAGCAGGGTGTTGCTGCCCAAATCGAATTCTGGGGCTGTGTCCTGTTAGAGACAGCCCCAGAGCAGGGCTGGTGTTTTGGGGTACTCTGCTCAGGGTGATCCTTGACCTGCATTCCAACCAGAAACAGTTTTCCCGGGAGATGGGCACTGGGAGGGGCACTGGATAAGATGATCTAATAGGTCTTTCCTGTGACCTATCACCATGAATTGCATCTCTTCTTGTAGAAGAACATTTTTTGAAGCACTAATAACAACGTGGGTGTTGTCTGAGTAGGGAAAAAGCAAAGGTCAGGAAGGAGCTTTGTTGGGGACACCCCGGCCCCCACCACAATGGGCTCTTTCAGAGGGGCCAGTAAAAAGAAACCAAGATGCTGGAAAGATCAGCAGCATTTTCTGCTGCATTTGGGCCTTGGAGCAACCTGGACTTGTGAAAGGTGTCCCTGCTCATGGCAGGGGGTTGGTATGAGATGAGCTTAAAAGTCTCTTCCCACCCAAACCACTCCAGGATTCTCCAATAACACCACGTGGCCAGCACAGGCATTTCCACCAGCTGGAATAAAACATTACCACACACCAGCATCTGTGAGGGGGCTGCAAGGAGGCTGCATCCCCCCCTGGGATGGCACTGCCAACCCAGGGGAAACAGATAACTCCCACAAAGCTAAAAGTTCCCAGCACAGCCCCATCCAGGAGATGAACTCCAGGTATCACAATGCTTGCAGGGGGAAGCAGGGGGGTTCTTTGCCAGGGCTGGGTTATCAGGGAAGCCTCTGGGACACTGATAAGGAATGAGGGCTGGCAGGAGCCTCGTGGAGGAACACAGGGAGCTCACAGGAGGGTTCAGCCTTGAGCAGGAGCCACCACGGCCAGCTGGGTCATGCTCCTGGCAGGAGAATTAATGGACAACAAACAAATCATCCTTCTGACTGCACTAACTTCCTTGGAAAGTCCATAAAGCTGGATGTGCATTGCTTTAGGGTCCTTCTGAAGATGCTAAATCCTGGTGTTTAAGCAGTTTGCTGGACTACCCAAACCCCAGAGAAGCCCTTTGGCACCGGGTGCTCTGGTGCTGGACAGGCACACGCACTCCTGGGGTCTGCAGAGACAAAACCAGCCCCAACCCCTGTCAGGAACTGCTGCCTGAAGGACCACATGAAGCAAACTTCAAAACCCCTTCTAATTCCCCTACTTACAGTGCTGGTGGAAACAGAGAAGAAAGAGAGCTCTTGCTTTAAATTAAAGGACAGAAAAATGACAGAACCTCAAAATCCCGAGCACTTTTCTCCTGAGCTCACAGATCTGTCCGTGCCAACACCACAGAGGACAACTGTGAGGGCTGGGGCTGGCCCTGCCCAGCACTGACCCACCACCAAGCCATGATTTTCCCGTTAAACCATTGCATCTGTCTCTCTCAGCCCTTAATTGTGGCTTCTGTGGGCCCCTAGAAAAATATTTCTAACTCCCTCTCTCATGTAGCCTTCAAATTCTCTGTTCACATTTGATCCCGGTTGTTCCTTAGCAACAAGCTCCATTCCCAGGCTCTCTCCTTTCTCTCCTGGTATTTGTCTTCATGCTGAACACTTTTTGGAATGCCTGCTTAAATTAGGAGTTATCATTTCCTGGTCGAAACCCTCAACCTGTGGTTAAGCTGATCCACAGAAATACAAAAATAAATCAAGGCTATACAGAGTGTGATCACAAATCACATCATGAAATGGTTTGTGTTGGAAGGGACCTTAAAGATCATCCAGTTCCATCCCCTGCCATGGAAGACCAGTGCTCTCCAAGCCCCATCCAGCTGAAAACCTCTTGCTTCTGCCCTCCTTGCACAGGGAGCGTGGTGTGACCCTGAGGGAGCAGCGAGGCTCAGGGATGGGGCAGAGTTAAACAGCCCAGTGCTCCTTCCTCACTCTGAGACCTCTCCATGCAAAGGAATTCCCATCCACGGGAGCTGCTGAGCCCACACACACACATCCATGGATTTTCCCTGGGAGCAGGAGGCACACCCACTGCTGAGGGTGTCTGAGGGCAGCTTGTCCCCAGCTCCCACCAGCTCTGCCAGACACTGGGACCTCCCCGCCGCTCCTCCTCACCTCAGACCAGTTCCCCACGGCCCACTGGGAGGGACAGGGCACGTCCCAGTGACAGGGCGCGGTGGCATCGGGCTTGGGGAGGTGCTGGCAGTCCGCAGGCTGCAGGGCCCTCTGCTCGTCCAGCCCCACGCTCTGGATGCACAGCACCGTCCTCTTCATCAGCCCCGAGCTGCCACACGAGGCCGAGCACTGCTGCCACTCCCCGACCCACCACCTGCAGGGACACACAGGGGAGGGGAAAAAGGGAAGGGGGGAGGGAAAGGTCTCAGCCAGAGCCAGCACCCACGTGCCAGGTTCCATCCTATGGCCCATCCCGTGGGGCCATGGGGGAATGAGGATCCCAACTGCAGCCTGTGTGTCAGCCCGAGGTCAGGGAGCACGGAGGGAGGGTCAGGGATGGGTCAGTCCCTGAGTTGTGCCAGGGATGGTTCTGTGCACAGAGGCAGAGAGGAGCATCCTGCCAGCACGGGACCTCCTGTGCAGCTCGAAACCTGAGGACAAGCAACACCCTGCAGCCAGCAGGCAACCCCTGGGATGCTCTCACGGGCCAACACAGGGTCTGGGATCCATCCCTACAGATGGGGGAGAGGAGAGGTGTGAAGAGCTGCACACATCCTGGGGCAATCTAGCATGGCTGTGACCGAGGTCCCCCCACTCTGGTCACCCCTCAGGGCTGTTGGACACCGAGGATGAGCTGAGGGAGGGCAGGGGAGGGTCAGACCTGGCCGGGCAGGGCTCCTCGCTGCAGGGGCGCTGCTGGTCGTCGGGGCGGGTGAGTGCGTCGCAGAACCGCTCCTCCACGATGCCAGCCAGCTTCTCCACACAGTGCACCACCTGCCGCTGCACCCCTGCGGGCATGGACACGGGCACGGGCTCTGGAGGGGCTCAGGAAACCAAACCACCCACACAGGCACCGGCTCGGCTTTGGAAACCACAGCAAACCACCCGGCACCCTCTGCCAGCAGGTGACAAGAGGCCCTTGGCAAGTCTGAGCCACCAAAACAGGGGAAAGGAAAGGAAACCACCACTTGAAGCTGCAGACCTAAATCTGCCAAGGCAGCAGTGCCCTCACAGGGCACCAGTGCAGGCAGGGCAGGATGGGCAGCTGTGAAGGTGCTGCACTGTGCTGGCAGCGCTGCCCAGAGCCACAGCAGCCTGTGTGCACTGGGGATTTTGGGGGCTGTGTTCCAAGGGAGCCAACAGGCAGCACACAGCTCTGCTGGCAGCCCTGCCCCCTCACAGCTCTGGGATAAATCACTGGCTGAGGCCTCCTGTCCTCGAAGCACTCGGGGGGTGATGCTTTTAAGGGTGACCTCACCACGCTGCCTCGCTCCGGCTTTTGTCCCCGTTTTTGTAACACATACTTGACCTGTGCCTCGGAGAGCTGTCACTGAACCCCTGCCACCAGCTGAGACTGACAGAGCCCTGCTGAGCCTGCTGAGCTGGGCTCTGGCTCAAGCACTTGGGAGCTTACAGGGCCCTGGGGCTGACCAGAGGCTCACCCTGAGCTCTCCCAAATCCATGTCTCAGCTCACTCCATCATCCAGCCCAGGGAGAGAGGCTCAGCCCTCCTCCAGCTGCTCACCCGACTCCTGCCAGATTCACTCCTGCATTTCCCTTCTGTTCTGGAAGCCAAGCGCTCAAACCGTGCAAAGCAAAGCTGGTTTTAAACAAAAGCCATCCCCTGGCACTCTGTGCTACCTAGAAAGCACGAGTGCCCTTGAATTCCCCTTTCTCCCAGTGCCAGCCGCTCTCGAGGAAGTGCTTGCTGGTCCCAGCCTCCCCCTGGTAGTGTGCCAAGAATGTCCCACTCCATCGGCTGCCCCAAAAGCGGCCGTGGGGACCCCGGTGGTGCAGCGGGGCAGGATGGAGGGAAGCAGGTGTCTGACACACGGAGCCACACCAGGCACCTTCCCGTGGGCTCTCTGTGAAACCCTGGGCGTGCTCCCCCACGGGGAGGCCCAGCCAGGCGGGAGGCCAGCCCTTCCACACTCCCGGATTTCTCTAAAGCTCTTTTGTGTCCATCCCGCCGAGGAGCGCCCAGCAGTAACAGGACACCGAGCCGGGAGCAAAGCGCTGATAAAGCACCGGGTCCCTGTGAGCGCCGCGGGGGCACCGGAGCCGTGACCTCAGCAGATGGCCCTTTTTCTCCCCCACTAAGACCTCCTGAAACCAAAGATCCAGGAATTCCTGAGGCATCCCTGGGGATGCTCCACCTGCTCCGACCGCCGCTCCGCAGGGCCGGGCCGGGCCGGGCGCCCCGCGGGATCCGGACTCACCGGTGCCACAGGTGGCCGTGCAGGTGGTCCAGGAGCCGAAGCGCCACAGGAACTCGGGCTGCTCGATCTCGTTCTCGCTGTCGGCCGGGCGCTGGATCGTGTACTGGTACCGCACCCCGGGGTTGGTCTCCTGGAACAGCAGCTGGGGGGACAAGGGGCGGTCAGGGGGTCAGGGCAGGGCGGTGGGGGGTGGCATCACACCCCGGAGGCTTCTCCGGGGAGAGCGACCTGCCCAGCACGGTCAGAAGTGTTCAAGGCCAGGTTGGACAGGGCTTGGAGCAACCTGGTCTAAGGGAAGTTGTCCCTGCCTGGAGGAATTCCCTAAATTGCTGGGAACAGGCTCCCGCTGCTCCTGCGGTTGACACAAGTCGTGCCCAAAGCGCCTCCTGCACCCACGCTCCGAGGGCCGGGAGTTTATCCCTGTTTTTCTTAGCCTAAGCACTCCCATTATTGCCAAAGCTTTGTTGTTCTTGGAGCTTTGGCGGAAGCCAGGGCGTCTCTCCAAAACCTCTCCACGAATATTGAAACATTCTCGTCCGAAGGTTTTAATTAGGCTACAGATCCCAGAAAGTGACTTGTGGGTGCCGAGCGTGCCAGCATTCCCATTAACAGCAGCTCTTGGAGGCAGCGAGCCCGGGATCCTGCAGCTGAGCCACTGATGAAGGAAAGGGTGAGGGAAGAAGAAGATTTTGGCTGCTCAGGGTGGCCAAGCTCCAGGAGAGCCTGTGCAAAGGGCTGGTGCTCCCGAGAGTGTGTTGGGATGAGCCGTGACTGCCGGACAGGGGAGGGCCCTGGGGGTCCACGGGATGCAGCTCCGTGGCCATCGCTGCCCCTGCACCACACTTGGCACCACGAGGGGTTTTGGGCTGGAGCTGGCTGCGCCATCCTCTGTGGGATGATTCCCACTGGCTTCTCCAGAGCAAAGCTTGGCCTCAGGGTCACAAGGATATTGATTCCCAACAGCTTTGCATTAACTGGCAGACCCCTCAGCCCTGACCAGCCCAGCCAGAAGCACCAAGGCCTTGATAAGATATGGGAAGGGCCTCAGGAAATGGCTCTTTCTGCTCACACTCCCTCTCCCGTGTAAATATTTTGAGGAATGCTGCAGAGGGGATGAGGCTCAGCTGGAAGTGCTGTGGGCTGGAAGCGCTCGCCGGGCCGGTGGCGCGTGCTTGGCTGCTCCAGTGTTGGCTCCCGGAGAAGCACGCTCAGCCAGGAGATGCAGAGCCCCACGCCTGGACTCAGGGCAGTGCTGTGACAGACTGTGGCAGCTCAGCCCTGCCCAGGAAGGCTCTGACCCCCAACCCCCTGCTGTGTATCCCATCGTACCTGGATCCACACGGGCTCCACGGTGGGCCCTGGAGAGGTGAGGTTCTCCCAGTTCCCCGTCCTCTTGTAGGTGAAGGTGGTCCCTGCCACCCTGTAGTCCCCATTCCACTGGATGGTCCAGCCACCGTTCAGGAAATACTTCTCCGGGTCCTCGCTCCGCAGCGCCAGGAAATTCCCGGCTTCTGCGACTTCTTCAATCCGGATCTCCCGGGCGCCCACAGGGATAATCCCAATATCGACATAGCCTGGAAATGGAACCGAGTGTTGGTCTTGGGGGAGACAGTTTGTGCCCCTGGGTGGATGAGTGTCCCCTGGGTGGGTAAAAGTGTCCCCTTTGTGGGTGCTACTGTGGGTGCCAGTGTCAACTGAGTACCACCATCATGCCAATCCTTGCATCTCTGTAAGGCACCCATGGCACCAAACCCCACCTTGCACTGAGCCCAGCTGCATTCCCTGCTGGCTCAACCCATGAAACCTGACAAGCTGGCATTAAAAGCCTCCCTGGGAGTGAGCAGCAGCAGCAGCAGCGGTGGCAGCAAGCCTGGCTCTGCATGGAACATGACTCAGGATTTTGGGGACAGTGCTGTGCCCTTACCCAGCCCCTCGCTGTCCTCGAAGGTCTTGTGGACGGTGTGGCAGGTGGAGCCGTCCCCGTGGCAGACCCCGCACCGATCCTCCACTGCGTGCGAGTCGATCTCGTAGTCACAGCCCACGTTCTGCAAGGGACCCCCGTCAGCCCCCGACCCAGGGCTGGACAACACCCCTGAGCCCTCTCCCACCCCTGTGAGTCCCAGGAGCACGTGGCCATGAGCTCTGATGCCTCCCATGTGGGACTCTGCAGACCACAGATCACCACCCACTCCCTCATTTAACAGAAATCCAATGTCTTGCATGTGTGCTTATTCCATCCCAAACCCTGTTTCTCTAGGGAAAAGGCTAAAGGGATTGGTTCACTGCCACTAAAGGCAGCTGGAGGACCCAGGGCACAGCTTGGCAAAGCCTGCCTGGCCACACCAGGATCTCCCAGATCATCTGCATCAACTGCAATGGATTCACAGAATCATGGAATGGTTTGGGTTGCAGAGAGAGAGATTAAAGAGATATTAAAGACAATCCAGTTCCAACCCCCCTGCCATGGAAGGGACACCTTCCACTAGACCAGGTTGCTCCAAGCCCTGTCCCACCTGGCCTGGGTTGTGCTCTATATCCTTGAGGCAGCACAGAGGCTGGAACAAGTGTGTAGGACACACCCCAAGGAAATCAGGACTGTTTCCCAGTGGGGAACGACAAAAGGAATGAGCTCAGCGTGGCAGGGAGGGGACACTGCTCCCCTAAGGGATGGCTCATGCGTTTTCCTAGGCAAGGGGGTCCTCAGGCTCGCTCCCAGAGGACCAGCACAGGACCCACCTTGCAGATGCCGTTGATGCACATGTCCCGGCTGGCGTCCCGCTCGTAGCACGGCGTCCCGTCCACCACCGCGTCCCGCAGCTTCTCCGCAAAGTACTCGTGCTCCGGCCGGCAGTGCAGCTCGCAGGGGTTAACTGGGGAACCCAACAGGTACACACTAAACCCCGGCAGCGGGGGTTACAACACAAGTTACCCCTGCAGGCCCGGCCGTGATTTCAAACACTGCGAGGCACGAACGGCACGCCCGGGCCGCTCGCGGGGCCGCCTGTGAGGTTTCCTGTGTTTGAGGTCTCTGCCCTCCACTCACTGTTGTTGGGCACCGGCGTCCACTTGTAGAGCTTCCCTTTGTAGAGCATGGGGTTGAACTGGCTGCACTGGACCTGGCGGAAGGAGGGCTTGTCCGGGGGGCACAGCCTGACGTTGCAAATCCGGAACCGCTTCCGCTCCCCCAGGCAGTACCGGCCCCCGTACTTGGGCCTGTCCGAGGGCAGGGAAAGGGAAATCAGGGAGGGATTGGGACGAGAGGGACTTCAGAGTCATAGAATCCTGGGAGGGTTTGGGTTGGAAGGGACCTTAAAGCCCATCTCGTTCCACCCCCTGCCATGGGCAGGGACACCTTCCACCAGCCCAGGTTGCCCCAAGCTCCATCCAGCCTGGTGCCCGTCCTGCAGCTGCTCTGGAGGAGCTGCTCTCCATCCCACCCAGGATACCCCTACAGCTCTGCTCCTCCGCTGCCCAAGGGAACAGCAAAGCTGCCACTCGTCTTTTTAAACTAAGAGGGACTTGAAAAGCCACAATAATTTTCTCTCAGATTCCTGCCATGCTGCCTTTTCCTTTGCCACATCACTCTCCATGGCCCATGTCCCCATGGCCTCATGAAAATTCCTTCTCCAGGACACACTTTGCTGAAGAGAATGAAGTTAATGATTGTTTTAGGGCTGTGTTTACATGCCCTGGCCCGAGGGAATGCCTGTGGGAGGAGGGGTGCCCAGCACACACTTTGCTCACTCCATCCCAAAGGCAAAGCTGGAGGTTTACCTCCGGCCGCCAAAGCAAACAACTGCCCAGGAAATTCCGCTGCTTTCCCAGTTCTTGCTCTCCTGCCTGTCCACAGCTGTGTTTGGAACACTCCATAAACTACCACAGCACTTCTGCCACGGAGCTCATGTCAGACCAGAGCTGGCTCTTGACCCGGGTCTGAGACAACACAGCACTTCCCTCACCAGCCCTACAGCACGTGCCAAACGTGCCCGAGGGACAGGATGGGCAGAACACTCTGGGCACATCAGGAGCCCTCTCCCAGGGCTGCCAGAGCTCTTCATGCCATGGAAAAGCGATCCCCCTGGAAGATCACTCACAAAGCCCTTTCCTCCCCACCCCAGGGTGCTCCAGCTCCCGGGCAAGCTGGGGCATTTGGCTGAATCCCATGCAACAGCAATTTGGTGACCAAGGGGACATCTGGGGAGCAGATGGATCAGCCCAGAAATCATGGGATGGAGAAGGCAGATCCTCTGGCACTGCCCCGATGCTCCAGGCGGGAGCCTGCCCTGGCTCATGGAATGCTGCATGTAGGCTGATAAACTGCAGCAGGATTTTCCAAAACAACTCTGAATCAGACTCCAAGAATGCCTGGTTTGCTGTTCTGTCACTAAAGGACACTGGATGTGTTTTACATCTCTGAGTCTTTGCCCTTTGTTTGAGTCAGTGCAACCGCTCCCTGCCTGCACAGAGCGGGAATGACACTGGGAGGGAGCCAGAGCAAAGCCGGCCTCTCCAGAGGCTCCCGGGGGTCATCCCAGGAAATTAAAGTGTCCAAAAGCTCCTCGTTCAGACAATAACTGCAGGATGGCACAGCTTGGCTGTGTGACACAGCTGGGTGGGACTGCACTGGACAGGTGATGGCTCCTGGCCTTACAGGGAACAAAGAGTTGGGTTCCTCTGCTCTAGAGCCAGGCTGGGAGAGCTGGGGGGGTTCACCTGGAGAAGAGAAGGCTCCAGGGAGACCTGAGAGCCCCTTGCAGGGCCTAAAGGGGCTCCAGGAGAGCTGGAGAGGGACTGGGGACAAGGGCATGGAGGGACAGGACACAGGGAATGGCTTCCCACTGCCAGAGGGCAGGGAGAGATGGAACAATGGGGAGAAATTATTCCCTGTGAGGGTGGGGAGGCCCTGGCACAGGTTGCCCAGAGAAGCTGTGGATGGGGCCTGGAGCAGCCTGTGCTGGTGGGAGGTGTCCCTGGCCATGGCAGGGGGTGAGGGGGCTGCACTCACGTGGGGGTGCTGCAGTGCCTCTCGGCGCTCTGCACTCCGGCCCCGCAGCTCCGGGAACAGGCGGCCCAGGAGCTCCAGGAGCTCCACCCGCCGTCGATGGGCTCGGGCCGGTGACCCACGGGAACACACTCCCCGTTGAAGCACCACTGCAGAGGGACAGCAGAGAAAGCAGGGTAAGGATGCAGGAACTGCTGCCGAGTCTGAGGTGCAGGGTGCAGTGACACCCAGCACGTGCTGTCCCGTGGAAATCCATGTTTTGCTTGCACAGGGGTGCCTGGGGTCAGCCGGGCTCTGCCAGAGCCTGGAGCACCTCAAACAGTGGGAAACACAGAGATGCTGGGCTGTTTGGGACTTGTCTGAGGTAACAAACCCAAACCTCCACTGAGATCCCTCAGTAAGGGGATTCTCAACCCAATCTCAGCCCAGAGGGAAGAGCCAGTGAGGCTCAGAGGGTGCCTTCCCAGCAGTGGGGAAGATCCCAGGGATGACCATGGACCACCACGGCAGACAGAGGGCAGAACGAGCCTCATGCTCTCCTGCCATGGTCATTAACTGTTGGTTTCACCTTCCCAAGGATTTTTAAGCTTCCCTGAAGGCAGCCCCTCCTGGGAGCAGCGGGGGTTTGGACAGAGCATGGGCAGCAGGATGAGCCTGTCCCTGTGCTGGAGCCTGGGAAGCTCCTCCACGTGCAGGACAGGGGGTCCCCGAGGCCACAGAGGGGTCTGCTCCCCATTACCTTGTTCTCCCCACACGCTGTGCCATCCACAGCCGCGTCCAGCTTGGAGTGACACGTGTTCCCCACCGTGCACCACAGCGTGTGGCAGACGCTCTGCAGGAAACAGGTTGTGCAGGACTCGGTTACCGCCCAGCCAACCCCCAGCACAGATCTAACCCACGAGGAGAGGGTGGCCCCAGCAAAGCCCCCACACCCCAGAGAGCCCCTGCCCCGAGGGGGATCCCAGCTTACATCCATGTCGTCGCAGAAGGTGGAGTAGGGGCCGTACTGCAGCCGGCACTGGTGGCCCACGTCGTACAGGACCCCCGGGGGCACCAGGGGGAAGTCCAGCACCTCCCGGGCTGGGGGGTCATCCAGGCACAGCCCCCAGCCCCGGCTGAAAGAGAGAGGGCACAGCAGTGTCAGTGGGGCACCCGAACACGGCTCCTGCAGCTGCCAGGGAGGAGCAGCAGCTCGTTAAGGTCCCACCGCGGTGAGGAGCGATCAGCAATTCTCCCTGACAGGACCCCTGCCCTGCAACCAGCCCTGCAGCCGCTGGCAGTCAGCGGCTGGCACCCACAGGCACATATGGGTACCTGATTTTGGGGGTGCTGCTGAGCCTGTTTGGGTCCCCCCAAACTGCCCCAACCCTCCTGTCCCCCTGACCTGCTCGGGGCACTCCCTGTGTTGCCCCAGCCTGGGGTGAGCTCCCTGTCCAACCTGGGGGTGACTGAGATCTGCCACCAGCTTTCCAGTGCTCTGTTCAGAGCCTATTTCTTCATGAAATACTTTGTGATCGTTCTACTGGTCTCTTCAGTTGGCCAAAACACACCTCCAAGCCAGGAAAAGTTGGCCTGAGTTTCCTCTGGCTTTGCAGGGATCTGCAGTAAATCCCACTCTGCAGGGAAACATGCAGGGGTCTGAGCTGCTCTGCCTGTTCCAGCCCCTTCCTTAACGAGCTGGATGATGGAATGGATGGAAGGATGATTAAATCCCCATCTGTGAGCAGGCTGGGAGGATCTGCAGATACATTTGAGAGCAGGATTAAAATTCCAAAAGCTCTCAGAGAACTGGAGGAATGGTCTAGAAAGAGCCAGGACAGAATTCAATAAAAACAAAGGCAAGGGTTGGAGCGATTGGAGCTTGGGAAGAATCAGCTGCACAACCAGGAGCTGGTGGAGCTGGCAGGAGCAGCCAGCCCCAGGCCCTAGGAAGAGGAGGATGATGGAAGAAGAGCTCCAGCACTGTGGAAAGAGGCTGAAAAACTGGTTGTTTGATGTAGAGCAAAGACTGAAGGGAGAAGGAACAGACTGCAGCTGTGCCAGGGCTGCAGACATGAAGGGAGGCTGCTCCATCAGTCCCAGGCTCAGGGTGCAGGCAGGGCCAGATCCCATTTGACAAGGATGTTCCAGCAGCTGGGCTGGGAAAGAGCTCATGCCACAGTGAGGGGTGGGGAACAAAGAGCCCCCCAGCATCCTCCAGTGGGTAGAGGGGAAAATCCCAGAACTGCTGCCTGTGCTGGCATCCCACATCAGCCTGAGCCAGGGATGGTCCTTCCCTGGGGACACCACTGCCACAGCAGGGAAGGGACCTGGGTGTCTGAGGAGACAGGAGGGTCTCCAGCCCCGGCTGCCATGCAGTGCCAGGGCTGTGCCACTGCCAGGAGTCACTTTGAGATGCTTAAACACTCAGCAGTGCTTGTAAAACAGTAATCTTCTGTACAATAATAATAATCATCATCTGACAGTGGCTTTTTTCCAAACGTGAGGTCTGTTCCAAGCACAGCCAGGTCAGCAGGGTCCCATTTTCTGGCTCACTCCTTCCTGTCCTCCTGCCAACACCACATCATAACAACTCATGTCTGTGCCGGCCTCTGGCCTCTCCCTGGCCTGGGGGATGTCACAGCCAGGGACAGATGCCTGCTGGCTTCCTTCTGAAGGAAGAGCTGCCCCTTCTGGGGGGTAAAGAGACCAAAACCCAACCAGAGGAGCACCCAGCTGCTCTGTCTCTCCCCCATCCCAGCTCATAGCAGCCCAAGGTCATCACAAGCATGGAAATTCTTAATGCAAAAGTGAAGGTTAAAAGCAGAGGGCCAAGAGCACTCCAGATACAGAAAGGCTCCATTCCTCTGTAAGCCATAAATCAACAGTAATTCCTCCTGCACGGGGCCAAGCCCACAAGTCCCAGGCTGGGGTTTAGGAGCAGGAGTTCAGCCCTGGCAGCCTCCCCACCACGGAAGCCCAGCCCCTCATCCAGCTCTCCCACTGCTGCTCCTCGCTGTTTTCAAACCTTCCCGCAGCAAGGAAGGAAAATGTTCCTGCAGAGCAAGTCACTGACAGACGTGAATCTGGGCTGTGTTCCTTGGAACTTCATAACAACAGCCCGAAAAATCAGCCCTGGGTGCTAAAAATAAACAAACCCAGGGAAGAATTTGGCTGGGTCTCGTTTCCCACGTGATGCCTCCTGAGGTGACAATCATCCAGCCCGTGCAGAAACTGCCGAGAGCATCGAGGAAACCGCTCTGGCTTTGTTTGTGCAACCACAGCCCCTGTGCCATCACCCAGGCACTCCTGAGCCCCCTTCACAGCATGGGGGAGGCAGCCCAGGGAGATCATGGAATCGTGGAATGGTTTGGGTTGGAAGGGACCTTAAATCCCATCCAGTTCCATCCCCTGCCGTGGGCAGGGACACCTCCCACTAGCCCAGGTTGCTCCAAGCCCCGTCCAACCCGGCCTTGGACACTTCCAGGGATGGGGCAGCCACAGCTTCTCTGGGTAAAAGACCCCCCAGACGCTCTCAGGTGGAAGCTCTTAGAGGTGAGAGCATCCCTCTGTGCCCTGGGCCCCCAGCCCCCCCAGCACCCTCCAGTGAGGAAGAAGAGGAGGAAGGACTCACTCGAGGAAGCGTGTGATGTACTCGCGGCTGCAGCGGGACCAGGTGAGTGGGGACGTGTCATACAGGAGCTGTGGAGACATGATGAAAGGTCTTTTCCCAACTGGCTCACAGTCATTGCTGCTTCCATCATGCTGAATCCCAAAACTGTGTAAGAGCACAGTCCCACAGAGGGGAGATGAGCCACGTGCCGCCACAACCGCGCAGCCGCCGCCTCCCGGCACCGCGCGACACCGCTCACGGCACCGGCACGGGGACACGGCAGGGACAGGGCTGGGGCATCCAGCACAGGGACACGGCAGGGACAGGGCTGGGGCATCCAGCACAGAGGGCACGGCAGGGACAGGGCTGGGGCATCCAGCACAGGGGGACATGGGCAGGGACAGGGCTGGGGCATCCAGCACAGAGGGCACGGCAGGGACAGGGCTGGGGCATCCAGCACAGGGGGACATGGGCAGGGACAGGGTCGGGGGCCTGGCCCTGGGGATGTTTTACTGATACCAAGGCCACTGCCCCAAACTTTGCCCTGTGCTTTTATTTCCCACTGAATACTCAGGAATACTGAACAAGATTACCTAGTTGAACTTACTGGTGGGTGTTTTCCCACACACAGGTATCTATTGTGACCTATGATCTTGTCAAAATTTGATTGAAATCTGTTGCTGATTCTACAGACAGACCCTGCTTCAAAGCTGCTCCAAAGCCCTCCCAAACCAGCACAGGGTGATACAGAAGCACAGTTTGTCCAGATTGCCTTGGGTTATGTGGTTTTCATTAAACCTGGGGCAACCAAAAACCTAACTCTGGAATGAAATCCCCGGGGGAAGAAGGAGGGGTTGCAGCAGTGAGGAACCACTAGGAACCTTCTCCCAGCCTCCCCCCGTGCCTTGTCCAGCCCCAACTGAGCAGCGCAGAGGAAGAGGAGGAGGAGGAAGCTGGTGGTACCTGTGTCCGAGCTCGTGGGCCACGGTGAAGGCCAGGGGCAGCCCCGTGTCCTCGTTGATGTTGCAGCTCCGGTGGGGTTGGCACATCCCCGCCACGTGGGACAGCCCCAGGGTCTCACAGGGCCTGTTCATGGCAGCACAGATGTCCTTCCTTGGGGGACAGGGACAGACAGACAGACACAGAGGGCGTTGGAAGGCGGCAGGACAGAGTGTGGGACACGGCCCAGACACACAGACAGCGGCCAAACAGAAGTGAGAACGGAGCCATCCAACATCGTCCACAATGGAAACATTTACGACCTTGCCTTTCCCCTTTCCTCTCCCCATATCCCCAGCTCATTAGTAAGCATGATTAATGGGAACTGCTGGCTACGTTTATTCCATTGTATAAATAAAACTGATGCTGGGAATAATAAAGCAATTCCTATGGGGAAGCACAGCCCAGGGGTGCTGTGGTCCAGGGCAGCTCCAACCACCCAGGAGGAACAACTCCATTAAGTACAAGGCCTGAAGCGCCTCATTTCTGCTACAAAGCAACTTCCCAGAGAAGATAAAGCTGCTGGGGTTGTGAATCATCACCCAAACCACCACAATGCTGCCAGAAGCCAAGGCAATCCTTTCAGCAGCCTGAAACCCTCAGAGCAGGGCTTGACTGTAAGGTGTATAAACTTGGCCACAGCCAATTCCTGTTTGCTCTGTGGGAGGTCAGGGGCTTCCCAGAAGCTCCTCTGCCAAACCCAGCCTCCAGGGAAAAAAGGAGAGTTAATCCCTGTGTACAGCTCCTGGGAGGATCCAGCCGCTCTGGGGCTCGGCAAGAGGGCCACGGAGAAAACCTGGTTTGGAAACTTCAGCTGGAAACCTGAGCTTTGAGACCAGCCCATAGAACCACAGAGTCCTGGAACGGTTTGGGTCGGAAGGCACATCTTAAAGCTCCTCTCATTCCAGGGACACCTCCCAGCACAGTTCCAGCCCTTGGGACCCAGATATCTCCAGATTTCACATTACACATCTTAGGTGCAGGTGTCCAGGCAGGGCTCTGGTGTGGAGAGTGAGATCTCACCAGCTCCCCCTGCCTGTTCCTCTGCCTGCCCCTCTGCCTGCAGCCAGGGCAGTCTCTTCCTGACAGAGTAGCCCCCACAGCAGCGAATCGGGAGGACGCGATACCTGGTGAGCAGGACGGCCACATCGTGGTGCAGGGGATGGGAATCTCCTTTCACGTTGATGCTCTTCTGCCACTTGCAAAAGCTTTTCAAGGTGTTGTCTGCATGGTGGGAGATCTTCAGGTCCTCCTGAAAGACAAGAAGCCTGCTGTCATATCACTGCTGGAGCTGTTTGGGTTTTGGGGGGGGAGAGGGGAGAGGTCTGATCTCAGACACATGGGAGTGGAATCGGCAGAGACTGCCATCCAAATGGAACTGCTCCATGTTTATAGGCTGCTGGCTGGGTGGGAAGAAAGTCCTTTTCCTGCTTTCTTTTCATCTGTGATTCAAGCAAAACATGAAATCATCCAGTAATGGGGGTTAAGAAACACTGGAGGGAAATATCCCGTCCTGGCTGGGGGTGAAGGACGCAGCTGGGAGCCCATCCGAGTGGCCTCAGAGCCACCACTGCAGCTGGGACACGACCACCCAGCGACCCACAGCCCTCTGCTCCCACATCCATGCTGAGTTATCAGAAATCATCCTAAAAATCAGACTCAGCAGCTCCTCTGACCACACTGACTCCACCGGCCAAGACGAGGACGCAAACACTGGATTTCTCTTACACAAACTCCTGCAGGCCATGCAGACAGCCCAGGAGGGAGCCTGGCTTCCCAGGCCAGCTCCCAGTGCATCCCAGCCTGGCTGCCAGGACGGGCTGAGTCACCCTGTTTTGCTCTCACCTCCTCGTGCTCCAGCAGGATGAGCCGCACTATGGCGATGTTGATGGGGTTCCCGATGCTGGCGTGGTGGAACAGCCCTGCCACCTGTGACACGGCAATGCCAAGGGAACACAGCTCAGGACACAGCCCAGCCCGGGACACGGCTGCTGGCACATCCCTCTGCAGGAACACGAGCTCCAGGGGAAGCTGCTGCAGGCTGCTGACAACATCTCGGGGAATTCCCCAAATCAGGACAAGAACAGACACGGGCCTGGACTGAGGCCTGCGATGCTTTCCATTTACACTCGATATGATCTGTGTAGACGCTGGAACTCACCCAGAAACGCCCGGGGAACCCCTCTGCTCTCACTAATAGATGTGTTTAACATCTCAAAGGAATTCCGTGCTCTCTGGGTGCCTTCACCACCCCCCAGAAATCCAGGGATGTTACCTGAGGTCCTCTGCCCAATCCCACCCTTTCCTGGCATCAGTCAAAGCTCTCTTCTGGAATGTAAAGAGAGTAGAAGAGGGAACAGGCTGAACCAACTCACCCTGACCTATCTACTTCCTCTGTGGCACCAGCAGACTCCCCCACATTCCCACCACAGTCTGGTGCTCCTTCCCAGAAAAGCTGTTCCCATCTCTCCTGGTAACCCAGATAGTGCCAGCTCTGGCACCCACCACCTCCCTTCCCTGGAGCATGTCTCCCTTTGGGGACCTCCCTGGGAGGCCACATCACCCATCCATGGAGGGAGGCAGAAGGGAAAGCCCTCCAGCCCCACAGGAAATGGTGCTGGCTGAGCTGCTCCCGCCTGCACAGAGGTTTTGGCCTCGGCTTTGCTGCCACCCACCCGTCCTCCCGGGGGCTCAGAGCACTGAGCAGGGCAGCAAAGCCAAGGGGGGTGGTGAGGGGTTTGCTGAGGTCCCACCAGGGATGAGTCCTGGCAACCCATGGGGTCTTCTACCCAGAGAAGCTGTGGCTGCCCCACCCCTGGAAGTGTCCAAGGCCAGGATGGATGGGGCTTGGAGCAACCCCGTCTGGTGGAAGGTGTTCCTGTCCACAGGGGACAGGACTGGGTGAGCTTTGAGGTCCCTTCCAAGCCCAGCCATTCCATGACTCCACGTCTCGCAGGACTCACCATGTTCATCACGGTCAGCACGTACTTCTCGATGTTCTCCCTGCCGTGGAACTCCACCATCTTGGTGTCTGCCACCACCAGCGTCTCCACCCACTTCTCCCTGCTGATGGAGCGCTGCCGAATCCTTCTCCTCCTGTGCTGCTTCTGCTCCCACCTTTCCCTGCGCCGCTCAGACCGCTCCAGGCTTTCCTGAGATTCTGAGGGATTAGAGGGGAAAAAAAGGTCTTTTTTTCTTGATGAAATGTCTGCAACCTTGATAAAATATCTTTTTTTTTTTGTTTAATTCAAAGGAATAACCCTTGGTGGGGAGAAGACTCCACACTCAGACCCATGACTTATGTGCATTTTGCTGTGCTCTGTGTTCCAAAAGACTCTGACCTCAGTCTGCTGCACATGAGCACAACAGAAAAACAAACAAATATTTGAAGTAATATCTTTGACTGGAACGGGGCTTGCAATATTCCACAAGGAATAGGGAGCCTCCCAGAGCAGAGTTTTAGGGTTTGTACTGTACAGGAATTTACAGGCAACTCTGCAGAGATGCTTGAGAAACAACCTGAGAAACAACCCCCAGGCTCAACACTTTGGATTCTCATCCCAGATCTGTATTTTTCAGGGAGGCACAGTTCCCAACAGGATAAATTCTGTGCCCCCAAAGCTGGACTGAAGTCTTGAGCCAAGTCCCACAGCCATCAGTGCCCTGGGCAAGCCGAGACCTTGCAGGACAGCCCAGAGATTTCCTCAGGCACACGGAGACTGAACTCTGCTCCTTCCCAAGGAGAAACAACGGGAATGCGCAGCGGGCTGAGGAGAGGCCGGAGGCGGAGGAGAGCTCCTCACGCACACCAGCAACTGGGAATTCTCCAGCGGAGACTTTCCCTGTGACGCTGCTCCAAGATCAAGGTCAGGGTCAGCCCCAAGCTGGGTGAAGGCTTTACAAACTCATCCCACACAGTGGGAATCGCTTTCACGACCAGTTTGGGAGGCTCAGCCTCGCTCCCCTAACAATGGCCTTGTATATTTTATGGACTATACTGTACGTTAGCTGTGAAAGGGTGTTTGATCCCCCAGCCTGAAAAATCCCAACTATCTGGATAATTTGATGAATTGCTAATACCACTGTGACAGTTTAATCGCAGCGGCTTCCTTGGAGCTCGTTTCCATTGTGTCCTTGGCTGCTGAGCTTCCAGCCGGGACGTGAGGGTACTGCAGAGCAGAGGGTGCCCAGGGGGGCTCCTTTGTGGCATTTTCCTTTGGGATGATGCCCCTCAAACACTTGCCCAGCTGTGCACACAGGCTGTACCACGTATTGACAGAAGCTGAACACCACCCAGCAGCCCAACACCATCTGGCTGTTGTGGTGCTTTGCAAAGCAAACCTGCAGTGCATCAGGGCAGGGTGGAAGGGTGGCAGTCACCACAATCCTACAGACTTTGGGATTCCTTCCCAGGGCACGCCCAGCACATCCACCCTGCTAGCCCTGACTGCAGGGGAGATCCACATGAGTTACACACGGGCCATAGCACACCCAGAGGAATGAATTTTCAAGAATACACTTCAAAGTCAAGAATAGACTTGAGTCCAGAATAGACCTCAAAGACTTGAAAAAGCCGTTAAGATTATTACCAAAGATTAAGTAATTAATTTAGATTATCAGAATGCCTGAAGATAACCTGATCATAGCAAAAAACACCCCAGTTTCTGAAAGCAGAGAGCTCTAGGAAATAGCAAACCAAGGGGTTTCACTCCCAAAGTCCAATGCCCCAGCAGGTTTAAACTGAAGTTTTCAAGAGAATGAAAGCAAATGTTCAGCCACCACATCATCTCCCTGCTTGCAGCAGGGCTGGGAGAGGATGAGAGCGAGAGGCACACGCTGAGGTTCAGCACACACCGAGTCACTGGTGGCACCAACATTGCCAGATTAACAGAGGAAGGGGCAGTACCTGGCACGCCACAGGTGTCCCGTGGGGCTGGGGGGCTCCTGCCCCGCTCTGCCCCGTCCTGGGGGGCCTGGCGCTTGTATATCCTGTGGGGCTGAGCTGCCCCCTCCTCCCGGGGGCTGCTGGACACGGGCTCGATGAAATAGTCCTCGTTCAGGAGCCGAAACACGCCCTTCTGGCAGGAGAGACAAGGGGCACTGTGAGGGCACCTGCACTGGCACAGGATCAGACTGAAGGACCTGGGAGTGGGAGTGACCATTGGAATCACAGAATCCTGGAATGGCTTGGGAGGGAAGGGACCTCAAAGCTCACCCAGTGCCACCCCCTGCCATGGGCAGGGACACCTTCCCCAGCCCAGGTTGCTCCAAGTCCCATCCAACCTGGCCCTGGACACTTCCAGGGATCCAGGGGCAGCCACAGCTTCTCTGGGCAACCTGTGCCAGGGCCTGCCCACCCTCACAGGGAAGAATTCCTTCCCAATGTCCCATCTAACCCTGCTCTCTGGCAGTGGAAAGCCATTTATTCAAACACAGAAAGCTCAAAAAGCAACCACAGCCCCCACCTGAGAGCAGAAGCAGACCAAGGATCCCATGGAGTTGCCATCCCTCCAAACTGGGAGACACCGGCACAGGCACTGCTGGTGATCCCTCCCTCTGTCCTGTGCCCGTGCTGGGGACACAGTGAGGTTCTCAACCCCAGAGTCCCTGTCATCCCACAGCCCCCTCAGGAACGGGGATCTGCACATCACCAGTTACATGGTACCCTTCCCCCAAAACTGCTGCTCTTCCACACTGTCGCCTTTGGAAACATCTACAGTGGAATAAGGCAGGGGAGAGTTCAGGAAACAGGGAGTAGTTTCAGTCCCCAGGAGCTGTGCTGGCATTAACACCTCCAGCTCCAAGCCCCTCATTGTGCTCCTCACAACCACACATTTATGAACTAGAAGGCAGAGAACTGCTGTCTTTGGGAATTTGGACACAAATAGGGAAGCACAGCCCCAGAGAGTTCCCAAACCACTGGAATCCATGGGAAATTTACAGTCAGCTCATCTGTGGCCACATCAGCCCTACGTGCTGGGATCCTGACCCTGCTGCTGCCAGGAGTTTTGCCATCACTTTCAGCACAAAGGGGGACTTAGCTACTACTATTTCCTTGTGGATTCAGGATCCTTACGGATCAGGGCTGTACTTACCAGGCCATCGCAGGTGCTGAGGGCGGCCAGCCCTCCCTCTGCCCGGCTCCGAACCTCCCCGATCATGTGGCAGGGGTTGGAGGTGCGGGGCTGGATCTTGGCTCCGGCGATGCCCCCGAAGCGCCTCTCGCTGACAAACCCCGGGGCCAGGAGGTTCCTGTTGAGGCTCAGGTTGAATTTCAGGGGTTGTCCTCTGTAATGCAGCTCGTAGAAGGCAGGGAACTTGCTCCTGGAGGCAGGAGACCTCCGGTGAAGGGCTCGGTGAGTCAGGTCGTAGGACAAGAAGGATCCGCTCTCGTCAACCTTGATGGGATGGACGATGTCGCTGCCAGGGGGCGGCGGGGGCGGCTCTGGGGAGAGGGGGTGCAGGGGTTACCTGCAGGGCTCCTCACCTGTCCTCTCCCACCCCTCCCTTCCGCTGGATGAACTCTCGCGGCAGGAACCCAAACTCCGGTTGGATCAGGTCACTGGTGCCCGCTGGGACGGCACGGAGCAGGGAAGAGCAGGGACCCCACCTCGGGAGGTCCGGGCTGGGGTGTGCCGTGGGACAGGGTTAAGGTCAGGGTCAGGGACCGGGCGGGGAGGGACGGGGGGATCGGGCAGCTCCGGAGCTCCGCTCTGCCCGGGCTAGTCCCGGTTTCCACGCACACACTCCCGCTGCTAAACTCCAGCCGCCAGCAAAAAAACCACCAACCAAACACCAAAATAACCCGCAAAAAGTCAAATCCCAGCTAGGAAACGGTGTTCGCACGCCGTCTCCGGGGGCAAAGCGACCCCCGGGCACTGAGCGCCCCGGAGCCTCCCCGGCCGGGCGCACCGGGAGAAGCGGGAGGAGCCGGGGGGCACCGGGAATGCCGCGGGCAGCCGGGTCCGACCCTGCCCGGCCCGCCGGGGAAGGGGCTGCAGCGGCGGGGGGCACCGGGGTGCCCGGCTACGGCCCCGCGGAGCGCCCCGCGCATCCCCGCGGACATCCCGCATCCATCCCCGCGCATCCCCCGCGCGCCCCTCCCGCGGTCCCCGCGCGGACCTGTCCCCGCGGTCCCTGCGGCCGCGGCCAGCGGCAGGCCGGGCAGGAGGGGCAGGAGGGGTAGCAGGGGCAGCAGGGGCAGGAGGGGCAGGAGCCCGGCCGGGGCCGCCATGGCTGCGGCGCTGGGGGCTCCCGCCGGCAGGGGCGGCGGGGGGCGGGGCTATGGGTATCGGGGGCGTGGCTCTGAGCACGAGGCGGAGATATTCAAATCGGGGCGTGGCTCCGATCTCCGGGCGGGCAGCGCGCGCTGCCGGCGCTCGGCGCGGCCCGAGGGCGCCCCCTGGCGGTGCTCCCAGCGCGCTCCGCTGCGGGGATTGCGGTGGAAAAGGAAACATTTTCGTTGAAAAATGGCAAAGAGTGCTCGGACGATGCCGCCATGTCCCCCCCGGACAGGGCTACCTCTCGCTGCCTCTCAGGTTTAAACGAACCGGGAGCGCAAACACGCCGTAACTTGGTGCCATTAAATACCCCTCCGGTGGCCGCTCGCGGCCCCCACGGCCCACAACTTTCCCGGGAGGGCCGCGTCTGCCCGCCGGCCTCGAGAGGGAATGTGTGTTTAATTAGGTGGTGACGTCATATACAAATTAGGAGGGGCCACGCGTGCCCCCTGGCGGCCGCAGCGCGGGGCGCGCGGGGCGGTGCCGAGTGCCGAGGACGTGGCCCGGTGATCGCAGCGCCCGGCTAGCTCAGTCGGTAGAGCATGGGACTCTTAATCCCAGGGTCGTGGGTTCGAGCCCCACGTTGGGCGCATTGATTTTTTTTCCTCTTACCTTTTCCTTTTTTTTCCTCCTCATTATTTTTCCCCTGTCTCGCAGCTCACGGTCCCGGCGGCCCGCAGTGCACCCCGGCGCGGTGCTGCGCCCCGCACGGCGCGCGGCGGGGCGGGGATGGCCCGGACTCCATGTCCCGCCATGCCCGGGGCGCGGCTGCGCGGCGGGGCCGGGCCGGGATGCGGCGCGGGCGCTGAGGCCCCGCGGGGAGCGGGCGGAGCAGGGACCGGCCCTTATAAATGGCGCCCAAGCAGGATCCCAAGCCCAAATTCCAGGAGGGTGAGTGTGAGGGGAGCGGGCGGGGGGCCCTGCGAGGGGCCGGGGGGGCCGCGGGGCCGCAGGTCGGTCCCTGTTGCGGGTCGGTGCCCACTGCGGCGATTTGCGCCCAGCGCTCGTGCTTTGGGGGTGATCCGGCTCTAACCCCGCGCTGCTCAGCCCTAGAGATGCGGGAATTCGTGGGAAAGCCGAATCCCCGCAGTCTTTGTCCCTCCCTGCGCCTCCTGTCTCGCCCCGGCGAGGCGCGGGCCCTTCCCCCCCGCTGGTGCTGGCATTGCCATCGGTCCCTTCAGTGCCAGCGATCGGCCCGGACCTTCCCTGGCTGAGCCTGTTGGAATGTCCATGGGCTGTCGGGGGGGATTTTCGTGCATTTGGAAGGTTTCCGTTTCCCCGAGAGGGAGCTCGGTGCAGGGCTGGAGGCAGCCCTGCTGGAATCCATGTTTGCCACGAAGCGCCGGGGTTTTAGGGGAACGAGGGTGAATCGGGCTTCTTGTCAGGCTTTTTCTGCGTGTATTTCGATTTCTAGGTAGTGATTGTGGTTGGTAGTGATATAACTAAGAGAAGTAAAAATAGTAATACAGGAAGGGGGCTGCCCCATCCCTGGAAGTGTCCAAGGCCAGGCTGGACGGGGCTTGGAGCAACCTGGGATAGTGGGAGGTGTCCCTGCCCTTGGCAGGGGTGGGATGGGATGGGGTGGCCTTTGGGATCAGGAATAGGTGTGGCTGTGTCGCTGCAGTGTGTGGATTCACAGGAGAGGCTGCAGTGAGGGAGAGAGAGCCTGCCAGGTTATCATGGAAACAAAGAATGCCAAACACATTTGTGTGATTTTAAAAATAAGTATTTCGCAGTAGCCATGGACATCTCACCCAGAAAACATTGGGCAACAACTGAAATAGAGTGGTGTTTCCACCAGTACTTGCAAGCACTGTGACACAGGAGGGAAATAGTGTCACCTCTGATTGTCAGCCATAGTTATACTGACGTTTGCTTTCTTTAAATAAAAGTACTGACTGTGTCATGTATCAAAACGGGCACTTCTGTGAGAACCTTTCTAAATCTTTTGCTTTCTTGATACGCAGAAGCATTTTGTAGTTCTGCAGCTCATCTCTCACATTGCAGCTCATCTCCCCAAAAATGTGAGGCACTGCAGCTTCCAGAAGGAAACATCTGGGCTCAGGTATCCTGTGCTGAGTACACTGAAATTCCTGCAGTGTAACCACAGAGTAAGGCCTTGCCATTGAGGAGAAGAACACCAGGCTGAAGGACAGTCTCATCCTACAGAAACCCCTCAAAGTGAACAGTTTTGTTGCTGTTCCCCAGACCCAGCACTGCTCCATCCCACACATCGGATGGGGAAGTGTGGGGGTGTGTCTCTTCCTGACTGCACTGCACTGGGAATACCAGTGGGCTGGATGGAGCCCGAGTGTTCTGGGGTCTGCAGCTGGAACTGCAGGCTTTGAGAGGGAGCTGCGTGTGCCAGCCTTGCAGTGGGATGTGGGAGTGTCGATGGAGGGGCAGGGATGTCAGTTTTGGTGGCAGTTCCTGCTGAAGTCACCAGCTGCCCTGCCACTCTCTGGGCAGGCCTGACATGGTGTGTGTGCTGCTGGCCTGGGTGACACATGTTAATGGCACTGTGGTGTTCTGAGATGTTTATCTGGACCTTTCTTCCAGGTGAGCGAGTGCTTTGTTTCCATGGACCTCTCCTTTATGAAGCAAAGGTAAGTGTGGCAGCTCATTGCTGCAGGTGGTTCTCACTGCCCCCAGGAAAATAAGGAACTGGTTTAGTTTCCCTGCTGTGCCTTGCTAGGTGGGATCAAGGACTGAAGTGAAAAATTAATGAAAACCTGATGATGTATGAGATTTTAAATCCTGCAGCTTTATGTTATTGAGAAGTTTCAAGAAACCCAGTGGTGCTGCCCAGTTATCCTGGTGAACTCCCAAAGGCTGGTGGTTTCACATGTTGGAATATCCCATAGAGCCGTGTTCCCAGAACACTGGGATGCATTTGCACCTGCAGGACTTGGAGCTGCTGGATTGCAGCCATAAAGGAAGTGGCATTCCCAGTTCTGATTCCCAGTTCTGCCTCTTTAACCACACAAACCTGCATTGCAGCTCTGTGATCTGGAGGGTAACCCCGCTGCCTCGGGTCTGCTGGAGGTACAGCTCTGGATTTGCCTGCTGAAATGGACAAAAGGGCTCCTGTAGCTCTCTCTGGGTTAGAGGACTTGCAGAAATTCCTGGGGCACCTCAAACAGGGATTTAAATCCATGAGGGTTTAGTGTCAGTGAATGTTAGCTGATGGGGCAGCTTCAGAGGGGTGGTGACAGGCAAGCACTTGGTGTTCTCCTGCTGTGTCCCTCTTCTTTATCCAGAGTGGGATTTCAGCAGGGTCTGGCTCTGCCAGCCTGGGGCTGGAAGGGATTTCCCAGCTGGCAAGAAGCTTTTGGCTGGCTGTTTACATAGGAGTGGATCCTTCTGAGTTCCTGTCCTGGCAGAATGAACTTAAAACATTTTACAATTACAATTCATTTACTTAGCAGGGTTTAATTCTAAAAGGCGCTCTGTATGTAGTAATTAATAATAACCTTTGCTTTCTTCCTGTTCCTTTGATCTGTTTTTCCTCAGTGACTCTGAGTTCATGGGTGGTTCTGTTCCTGCCCCCGTCCCGGGTGTCCCTCAGCAGGATGGTCAGGGAAGCACTTGTTGTTTGTGTTAGAGGAGCGTGAGGAGCTGTGGCAAACAGGAACTGTTTGCACACCTCTGCAGTGCAGAGTTAAATGACAGTCACTGAAAACACTTCTGACCTCCACCAAGGAAAATATTTTGCTACAGAAATACACTTGAGTCACCTTTTGCTTTGTGCTCAGCCCTTTTGTGTTCTTCAGGACAAGTGGAGACAGGCACGGTCTGTGTTTGGCTGGGTTTGACTTCAGGCTGTCAGAAGGAGCCACTGGTGCAGTCCTGGCTCCAGCAGGAGCAGCATAACCTCACTCCCAGGTGCAAGTCTGCTGAGCCTGAGTTTAAGCTCCATATGTGGCATTTTGGAGGTGGTTACTGGAATATGATGTTCCTCTCCGTTGGCAGGGTTTTTTTAATTAAAAAGGGTACATCACACTGTGTTCTTGAGAAAATGTTGTATGGCAGAACACTATATAACACTTAGGGTGATTCAGTATGGCAGGAAAATAGCAGTTATAAGTTCTGTGAGTAGTTCTGACTTCAATGGGGGAAAAAATCCTTAAAGAGGAACTAAAAGCTGGAGCCACAGAGGGTCATTGTTCCTGTTTTACAGCTCCCTTGTTCTGTCACTGGTGAGTGGCACCTGTATCTCAGCATCTCCAGAACAGGACTGTGACTCTGTGGGTGAAGTGCTGAAGGTGGTGGATTTAATTTGCATAGCCAGGAAGTTCAGGGACCTGTGGTGAGCACAGAACTGACCTAGCTGGGGTTATGTACTTTCTGTTCCGGGCTGTTTTTTCAGGAAGAGGCCTGTCCCTGGCTGGGTTGTTAATGTGGCTGTGGTTGCTTGAGCTGTATCCATAGGCCAGTCTTCTAATGGAAAGGCTTTGGCTCACCTGGAGCAGGGAAGTGGCTTCTTGGCTACTCCTGGGGCATCCTCAAAGGTTCTGGTCCCGCTCCTGAGGGAAGGAATCCCTCTGGAGAGCTCTGCTTTGCCCTTCCCAGTCCATCACTAGGCAGTGATGTGGGTTGGAGAGCAGTGCCTGCTGTGGAACAGCTGCCAGGACTCCAGGGGCTTGCATGGAAATCTCTTTGCTTAAACTGGAAGCTAAAAAAGCAAAACTCATTCCAGTCTCCTTGTTGTCTTTGGGGCTGACTGACCTTTCCTCTCTCTTCCAGTGTGTGAAGGTTGCCATAAAGGACAAGCAAGTGAAATACTTTATCCATTACAGTGGTTGGAATAAAAAGTAAGTACTGCACAAAACGAAAGCAGAATTTCTTTTCCCTTCAGAGGAGAAAGCTTTGTTTGAGTGTGAGCTGGGTGGATCAACTG